CCCCTCTGCAAGCCGACGGAGGGTTCGCCCCACGCCACGCGCGTTCCCTGCTGACCCTGCGCCCCCCCCCCCAGATCCGTCACAGCCCCCCTGCCGGAGTACCTCCTGATAATCTGGCACCCCCTGGGTCTCAAAGGTGCCGGATTATCGGAAGTCTGCTGTATAAAGGAAACTGAAATATATCTCATTAAGGTGATAGGCTAGCAGTGTTCTTCACTGCTGCTGCCAAGCACTCTGGCATCACACCTCTAATCCCATCCTGGTGAGGAATGGAGGCTGTTGTTGTAGGGCCTCTTCCTCCATGGTGGCTCCTGTCCCAGAGGGCTGGGCCTGTGGCTTGATAGTGAGCCTACCTTATGGTCACCCTGGGCATGGATAGCAATGGCTTTGGTGTTTCATGGGGCTGAGTTTAGCTAGCTCCAAACATGGCATGTCGTCTTATATCTCCGGTCAGATTTGGCTTGGCAAATTTTTTTGGGGGGGTGGGAGGAGGTCAACTGCTCTGGGGCCCAACGACGTAAAAAGGCCTACGGCTCCCAGCTACTGCTGTTAACTGGAGTGCAGTAGCAGCGCTGAAGAGCTGGGGGTTGGAGGATGCTAACCCCAGTCCCTCCCCTTCTGCCCAAAGCCTCGACACTTCCGGGAGTGTGGAGCCACCCCTGCTCTTCCCGGCACTGGAGCCTGGCAATTCTGTTAGCCCCTCTGCCTCTGTTTCATGATGGAGGGACAGCAGGCTAAATTTTAGTGAGTGGCATTATGACCATATTGGCCTTGCCCCTCTGCCATTACAAAAGGGTGCTGCAAGCCTGTGTGCCAGATTGCAATGCCTGGAGGAGGGAGCTGGGTCCAGCCCCACAGGATTTAAGAACTGCATCTTGGGATTAGTACAGGGTGGGCTAGCTTTCCAAAAAACATAGCCACCAGGTTGTTGGGTAACTCAACTAGAGCCTTCCCTTGGTATCTGTGACATTTTCTGCATCTGTAGCAAATCTGCATCCCTAACCACAGCTTTTAAGAAATAATCTGTTGTGTAGTTAGAGGCCAGTCCCATGGAGAGCTTTGGTATTATCAGGATAGATATCTTAAATTGACTGTTTTATGGGCTCTATTGCATAGAGAACATTAGGGTAATGTGCTCATGGTGACTTATGTTGTAAAGGAGATAGTACAAAATGCAGCTATCTAGAGTACAGGCTCCCTCAGATTCCCACATCTGTGCAATGACAGAAGTTTGGGCTTTTCTCTTTCCTTCTTGTAATTGATAGTTTTGGAATCAAGTGATGTTGGCGTAGAGATGGCAGACATTCCTTTATATGGATTGCAACAGTAAAATCTGGGAGTTTTGTTAAACTTTATTTCATTAGTGCAAAAGTCTGCTTTTTACAATTTTCAAATCATTAGAGGCCCTGTGTCCATCTATTTTATTTTGAGAGGGAGAGGGATAGGGGAAAAGTTATTGATGTGTTTTCCAATTGTCATGCCTTTTCTTCAGAAATGCTGCAAATTAGTAGTAAGTGGTAAGTAGTAAAAAGTGTTAAATGACTCTCATAGCCTGGAGAAATCTGCCTTCTGTTTAAATGGCTGAGATGCTGGTGAACTTACAGTTTTATTACAAAAAGAAGTGTGTAAATGAGGAATTCTTTGTTTGTCTACCATGGTAATGTTTCCTTTTCTCTTTGCCACAGGCTCCTTAAGATTCCCATATCTACACAATGACAGAGGTTTGGACTCTTCTCTTTCCTTCTCCCTGTAGTTGATAGTTTTGGAATCAGGTGATGCTGGCATAGAGATGGCAGACAGCGTGAAAACTTTCTTTCATGATCTTATCAGGGTAAGTCTCTCAGTTTGTCTTGATTCCAGAATCTCTTAAGGAACTTTAATTTCCTTACATAGGTGTCATAATTTATAGGCAAAATTGACTTAGACGAATCAGTATATTTCTTGATTGTATCTTGTTCCTTACTGCTTGGATGCCTTTTCTTTCATCTAGCCAATGGTGGATTAAAAATATTCCCCCTCCCCCATGAGTAATCTCAGATTTCATACCCTGGTTACCTTTTTCTTTTTTTAAATATGGAGCAGTATAGTGGTTCAGATCATACACAAGTACCAGGATTCTAATCTCTATCCAGTTTTACCCAGTAACATTTCCATTTTTGGTCACTCAGCATTCTTTTGGATTTGTGTGTGCATGGAAATAAGAGGGAGCTACTTTTGTTCAACATGATACCACTACAGACTCTCCTTGCTGAGCATGATCTGGGCAAATGTTGAGCTTGCAGTGAACCCCCAAATAGCTGTGTGTGCTGCAGAATGCCCTGCAGTATTGAGCCATAATCTTAATTGAACTTTGCCACTCAAACTGACAAGAAAGGGGCCAGTTATGTATTTTTTGTGATGGGAAGGCTTGACTGAGCTTACCAGCTTATTTCTCAAAGGACACTTGCCACCTTTCAGGTACAAATGACATTTGTTCATGGTCAATTTAGATGGTGTTGCAAAAGATGGCCCACAGGTGAAAGGCTGACTCACACTGGATTAAATGAATGATACTTTCCCCACCCAGTTTTAAAAAAAGGTTGAAATTTCTCAAGTGCTTTTCTGGAGCTCTCTGTGGATTTAACACTAGTTTTGAGTTTAAGCAATGTGGAGCTGATTTTTTTTTTGTAACCAGGAAGAGCAAATTGCCTTGGTCTTGTAACTATAGGACATGATGAGGTAAATGTAAATAACAAATTTTGATTTGTGTTCAAACAGAAATGCCTTACATATCCTAAATCTGTGTGTAACTATTATTAGCCTTATATTTTTTTCCCTTCATGGATTAAAAAAGCTAACAAGAGAATAGATAACTTTGTATAAAGATACATCATAAATTGTACTAATAATTGCTCCCACTTGGAGAGAAATTACAAATAAAATGAACCAGTTCTCAGGAGAGCCTTGAAACACTGTTTTGTGTTTGTCAGCTTGTGTTACAAACAAAGCAGTAAAGAAACCCAGCTAGGTTAATTCTACCTTCATACACAAATTGACAGGGGAAAAAAAGCACTTTTTGCCTAATTGGAGAAAATAGACAAAGAAATAAATGATTCTCTGGCTTTGAGAGGCTATAGGTAATAGGAAGTCAATAAGAAATTATACCTTTAAAAAAACAGATTACATTATAATGTCACTTCTACAAATGCCTAAAATGGTTCTGACTAAAGTCATTGGGCCCCTGCTGTAATTATTGAACTGAACCTTGGCTACAAGCACTGTTGGCTTCCCCTCCTGACTGATGACCATTGCTGGCTTTCATCCAAATTCCAGTCTGAGGGAATAATGGGAGCGGAGGAAAACAGTGGTCAACCTCTCACTTCTTTGCTACTCCTAGCAGCCTTGCTATCCCCCTTTGAATTCCACCTAAGAAACTCATGAATGTGTGTCTACTTCCACCATTGATCTTGCCACAGGTTCTCTCTGTTGCCACTTTCAAGCATGGTCAAGATTACATAAAAATAATTGCAGTCCCAGGAGTCTCCCACTTCCTTGTTTTATTATCCTGCTACTGTGACATGCTATTTTCACTACGCTAGACATGCTATTTTCACTACATCTGTCTACACTAGACTATAAACTCCTTGGGGCTGGGACCTTGTCTTTTAAAATACCATGCACATCTGTGACGTTATAGTCTTCAGTTTTTATATATCAGCCCCTCAAACCCACCTAGACAATGAGATTTTCATTGAACGGGAAACCACTGCCCAAATTTAGTACAGGCAGTCCCCGGGTTACGTACAAGATAGGGACTGTAGGTTTGTTCTTAAGTTGAATCTGTATGTAAGTCAGAACTGGCGTCCAGATTCAGCCGCTGCTGAAACTGATCAGTTTCAACAGCAGCTGAATCTGGACGCCTGGTCTGCAGACCAGGGGGCCGGGGGGGCAAAGCAGAGCAAAGCAGAGCCAAGCCGCGGAGCGAGCCCAGACGCATCTGGGCTTTCCGCTGCCCGCGTGTTCCGCCGCTTTGCTTCCTCTCCCTGGTCTGCTGGAGACCAGGGAGAGGGAGGGCCCCGTTCGTAACTGCGGATCCGACATAAGTCGGATCCGCGTAACTCGGGGACTGCCTGTATGCCCAAAATGTAGGCCTTGTTTACTATTTTTTTGAAAGGCTAACATTAATGGAAATGTTGGCTCAAAATGCAAGGAACATCAGAACATAAAATGGCCAGACTGGGTCAGACCAACAGTCCATCCAGCCCAGTATTCTGTTTGCCAACAGTGGCCAATGCCAGATGCCCCAGAGGGAGGAAACACAACAGATAATCCTCACGTGATCCCTTCCTTGTCACCCACCTCCAGAGAAACAGAGGCTAAGGACACCATTCCTACCCATCCTGTCTAATAGCCATTGATGGACTTAACCACCATGAATTTATCTAGCTCTTTTTTGAATCCTGTTAAAGTCCTATCCTTCACTGCATCCTCTGGCAAGGAGTCCCACCTAGTGACTGCACCTAGTGAAGTAAAACTTCCTTTTGTTTGTTTTAAACCTGCTGTCTATTGATTTCAATTGGTGACCCCTAGTTCTTATATTGTGGGAATAAGTAAATAACTTTTCCTTATTCACTTTTTCCACACCAGTCATGATTTTATAGACCTCTGTAAAGGAAAATCTTTATAATTCTCCAGGGGAAGATATGAGATTATAGCTGAAAGACAGAAAATTAGGCCAGTGCATGCACCAGAAAGTGAAACTGTCCAAGCAATTTTTTTTGGTTCAAGCTAACTGGCATGCACAAAAGTAAACTGAATCAATTATCATAATGAAATGATTTGTAAAATTCCTTCAGTTTCTGTCATGTAGGGGGTTAGATAATGTGGGTAATTTTATGAAGATAATTTTTTAACTAACTATATCACTTTTAACATTTACTTTGCTGAAAGTATGTTGAGTTCAGATGTGCTGTTTTCTTGTGCCTGCAGGGAATTAAGGACTCCATTTGGGGGATATGCACAATCTCCAAGCTGGATGCCAGAATCCAACAGAAAAGGGAAGAACAGAGAAGAAGGAGAGCAAGCAGTGTGCTTGCCCAACGGAGAGCTCAGAGTGAGGAGCGGAAACTAGAGAAGTGAGGAAAGGAGCTTAAGTGTTAAATACTAGCAAATTTGCTTGTGCCCTCTCAGTCCACCATCAGGCTAGGAGACAAAAAAAAATCATTTATAAGCAGAATGGTTCTGAATATGACCATGGAGGTCCTAAATGATTGGAAAAATTGAAAATCACACTGAATTAGGACCAGTCTGCAAGATTTGTCTGTATGTGTGATATTTCAGAGTAATCCAGGTAGGAGGGAATTTGAGGAGAATGGGTATTTGACATTTACACTGCTATTTCCCTCTGCACATATGCAAATTTTCATACCTGCCGCTCCATATATTGAGCTGAAAATACACTCCTTAATAGCAGGGACTTACTAACTGAAAGACAATGTAGTAAGAATTTCTCTGAAATACTTTGTGATTAAAATTGGATTTATGAGCCAATTTTCATTGAAACAGACAGGTAACAAATGCAAAATGTGTTAAAGGAAATACACTCTGTAAACAAGACACCAGTGGCAGTCACTTCCACAAGATATCATCAAGATGTCACTGAGGCCAAGAGCATAGCAGGATTCAAAAAAATGTACATGGTTAATGACAGGATTGAAAATAAAAGGGTTCTTCAAGTGATTGCTCATGCATATTCCAATATGCATATATGGTGTGTCCAATTGTCAAGACTTTTCCCTAGTGGGACCCTTTGGGTCGGTTTTGGTGTCCCCTGTGGTGATGCCTTGCAATGTTGTATGCATACCTTTGCCAACCCAACTCCCACTTCAGTTCCTTTTTTCTGCAAATGACAGTCGTTGCAGCTTCTGATTTCTTGCTTCACAAATAGTCAGTCTCTAGCATAGCATACTTGTGTTGGTTTTGTTGTTTCTAGATTAGTTTGTTCAATTTACTTAAAGTAGTTAGCTTGGGATGTGTGTATTTCCCTCTCCTATTGTTCATGCTCCTGGGGCATGCAGTGGCCCAAGGGTTTCAAACAATGTGCAAAGTGTGGCAAGCATATGCCCAGAGGAGATCTTCTCTCCACCTCCTTTTGAAGTGTCTTGGAGAGGGTCACCTGTCTGATAAATCCCCTGCAGACACACTATACTTAAGCTGCAAACCAAAATGGAGAGGGACCAGCGGCTTATAGTGATCCTTGTGGAGTTGGCACTTAGACCTCAGCCAGCAACTCCAGTGCCATAGTGCGCATTGCGCCAGCCTCATTGGTGCCATGCCTTGAAGAGCAGAATTGGCACGGTTTCCCGGCACTAAAAATGGGGTTGTCCTCTCTGAACCAGTCCCATTCCCTAGTACCATGCAAGAAGAGGACAACGGATGAGGCTGTTTGCCCTCCAGAAGATCTAGTAAGGCTCTGGAATCAGCCTGTACTGCGCCCAGCCTACCAGGGCAGAATACTTCTTTCCTAACACTGTTGACTCTGGCCCCACAGGCTGGTCCATTGAGCCTGGTATTGGAGGATTCCCCGGTGTGAGTGGTAGTGGAGGAGGACTCCATGCTGGACATGTTTGGGGCTGCACGGGACCTCATTGGTGGTGACAGTAACATTTGAGGCGCAGCACCTTCCCTCAGTGGCACCGGTCTACATCTGCATTCATGGTACCATTAGCGTCAATGCATGGGCCCTGTCAGGCACCAGTGGCTCTGCCTTAGACACAGACTATGGCTCCACAGCTTGCCCCAGCACCGGTGTCATCTTTGGCACTGTGAGAAGCCCACTGCTGTGAGTGTCCGCACCCGTTTGTCTTGACACTGGTCTCTATCTCCAAGCAACCATTGGGGCCCAAGACTAATTTTTGAGGGTGCATCTGAGGGCATCTGTCTGCTCCTTTTGAGAATCATCTATCCCACTTTTGCTGAGCCTGGGCCCAGATGACGTCAGACTGCTAGGTTCTGAGCACAGTGGGAGTGGAATATTCTGTCCAATTCTGTATCCTCTCCTCCTCCTGCCCCCTTACCTGTCCCTCTTCAGAGACCCTTCTTACAAGCAACTCCTTATCCTGCAGGTGACGTCACTTCTCACGCAGGATGATGATAGAAAAGGATTTTACTACTGGCACTTCCTTATCTCAAAGGTCAAAAGGGGTCTGTGCCCCATACTGGATTTCAGAAACCTGAATGTGTTCATACGAAAGCTCAAGTTTCGCCTTGTATCCCTGGCCTCACTCATTTCCTCACTGGATCCAGGGGATTGCTACACTGCCCTCGATATCAAGAATGCACATTTCCATATCTCCACCGCCATTTCCTCTGTTTTAACTTCCTTATCTCAAAGGTCAAAAGGGGTCTGTGCCCCATACTGGATTTCAGAAACCTGAATGTGTTCATACGAAAGCTCAAGTTTCGCCTTGTATCCCTGGCCTCACTCATTTCCTCACTGGATCCAGGGGATTGCTACACTGCCCTCGATATCAAGAATGCACATTTCCATATCTCCACCGCCATTTCCTCTGTTTTATGGTACAGACCATCGTTACCAGTTCAGTGCTGCCCTTTTGGCCTGGCCATGGTGCCTAGGGTTTTTGCAAAGTGCATGGCTGTGGTGGCCATGTTCCTGCACAGGAACTGGGTGCAGGTCTTCCTGTACCTGGACAACTGGCTGATCAAGGGCTGGTCACTGCATCAGGTGCTTGAGTATATGGAACTGGTCAAGGCTATGTCGTCCCATCTGGGCCTGCTCCTCATTGTGCCACGCTCATTCTTATGCAAAGAATCGAGTTCATTGGGGCCCTTCTCAACTCCAGAGATGGTCTTGACCACTTAGTTACCATGCTGCTGGCAATGCTGCCATCCTTTGTCTGGTGGATGCAGCCCTAGATAGTGTGTGCTGGGGTCCTGTTTGCAGGCCCAGAGAGAGGTCACCCTGGTGATGGATGCTTAGACATGGGGGCACACCTAAACGATTTGCAAACAAAGACTATGGTCTTGCATGGAAATGATGTTGCATATCAATTTCCAGGAACACAGGAGAGTCCTGCTTACTTGCCAGGTGTATCTGCCTCACCTACAGGGCAAGTATGTCATTGTGATGAGCGACAAGAACACATTGATGTTTTATATCAATTGACAGGGTGGTGCTTGTTCCTCTCACCTGTGCCTGGAGACCATCTCCCTCTGGGATCTTTGCATTTCTCACGATGATCACATGCAAACCTTGTACCTTCTGGGCATGTAAAACAACCTTGCAGATCACCTCAACTGGCCCTTCCAAATCCCACGAGTGGTCCTGGATCACCTCAGCTGGCCCTTTCAATTCCTCGATTTGGTTCTTTAGGGCAGATGTGCCTCTCCAGTTTCCAAGGGTGGGGTCATCCCCATGTGGACCTGTTTGTGACCTGCCTAAACAGAAAGTTCCTGTGGTTCTGCTCCTTTCAGGTCAACAGTCCCTATCAGATACTGCTTCATCCATGACAGGTGGAAAGTATCTACATCTCCCCACCAGTGCTGTTAATACCTAGGGTTCTCCTCAAAATTCGACAGGACAGAGTGGACGCAGGAGTTCAATCAGCTGTGCCACGTGAACCTGAACTCCAAGCCACCTTGAACTCCAAGACTCAGACTCGGTCAGAGAAGTTTTAATAAGCAGCCACAAACCCTCTACTTACCTTGCCAAATGGAAGAGGTTCTCTTTGTGGCAGGCCATGGTTCCCTTGTTTCTGGACTACCTCCTTCGCTAAGATCTGTCTGTCTCATCTATTAAAATATATCTGGCAGCTATCTCAGTTTTCTACGCAGTTCAGGAGTGAAGTTTCCTCTTCAGGGATCTGGTGGTGGGTTGTCACCTTAAGGGTTTGGATTGGCTTTGCCCTCAGGTTAAGCAGCCATTATAATCAATGAACTTGAATTTGATGCTCTCTTGAGTCATGGCCCCCTATTGGGACCCTAGCTACCTGCTGAATAGTCAGCCTCTTATAAAGTGGCCTTCCTGGTAGGTATTGCTTCTACCAGGGTGCAAGCCCTTACCTCCAAGCCTTACCTTATACTGTTTTCTATAAGGATTAGATGCAGTTGTGCCCCCATCCATTCTTTATGCCCAAGATGGTGTTGCCTTTTCACGTCAATCAGGATCTTTTTCTCCCTGTCTTCTTCCCTAAACCCCATGCCAGGACAGAGATACGGAATTACACTCCCTGGATGTAAGGTGTGCCCCTGCTTTCTATATTGCATGCACTAAACCATTCTGCTGGTGTGACTGGGTGTGCATACCCTGCAATGAAGCACATGGGGTTGAGACTAGGGTTGTTAAAATGTGGTTAATTGACTAGTCGATAGGCACTTCCGCATTCCTCCTTTGAAATGTACAAGAGCCTCTACTGGGGCTCTTGTATATTTCAAAGGAGGAATGTGGAACTCCGCGTACAGCCTGGGGCTAGCGGGTAGTCTCTCCAGCTGATCCCCGGTTCCGGGGAAATGCCATGGGAGCCTGGGATCAGCTGGGCAGTCCGCAGCTGACCCCAGGCACCATGGCGCTGCCCCTTTGAAACGCCAGAGGCGGTGTTTTAAAGGAGCAGCTGCCGCACATTGGGCCATACTACTCTGTAACCAGGGTTGCTTATGGAATCGGTGTTACCCTGAGACGAGAATATTTACAGACCCTAGAGACAGTTGGAGACACTGCAGCTGAGTAGGTGGCGTCATCACTAGTCAATGCAGCTTTTAATCTCTGTTGTGTAATGCATGAAGGGCCTCCTGATTCTTCTTCGGTTGATGTCCCCGTGAGTGCTCCACTGTTGGTGACGAGTGATTCCTGGACTCGCAGTTCAGAGCTTTTTCCTAGCAGATGATTGTTGGGCTGCACACGCGGAGGAGGTGCTTTGCCCCATTGACTGTTTGGTGCTTCGCGTGCTCAGCTGTCCTCTTCTCCCCCTCCCTCTTCCAGTTCCTCTCTAACAGCCCTCAGTTGCGGACGGAGCTCCTATCTCTCTTGCCCCAGGGGCTTGTTCCCTTCACACAGTTCTTGTTACTATGCTTGTTTTTTTGTTACTGTTTCATCATTGTTAATTGATTCCTTGTTACA